CAGATCCGGCGGGACAGCTTGTACGAGGCGGCCGCGGGCAACGTGGGCCGGGTGGTGAATAGCTGGTACCGCTTTCGCCCGCTGGTAGCTGAGCTGGTGGTGCAAAACGCCTGCGGGCACCTGGGCTTGAAAAGCGACGAGATCTGCTGGACTAACTCCGAGAGCTTCGCCGCCTGGTGCCGCTTCGGCAAAAGGGAGTTCAAAGCCGGGGGGGAGCTGCAGGCTGCCGCCGGCACCCAGCACCAGCAGCAGTACCATCTCAAGATCCACTTGGCGGAGAACAAGGTGCACACGGTGAGGTTCCATAGCCTGGAGGATCTAATACGCGAGAAGCGCAGGATCGATGCCAGCGGCAAACTGAGGGTGATCAAAGACCTGGCTATAGTGGATGGGAAAGAATAGGGGGTAGCAGGGGTATGTGGCTATCTTCCTTCTGCCCTGCCTGGGGAGACCAGCAGAGGCAGGAGTCTGCACCCTCTTTCCGTGGGACGTGACTGGAAGCGGGATCCATGGCGACATTCCAAAAAACCAGCATTCCTTACACCCATAGCCAGTATTTTGTTTGGCTTCTAATAGCGTTTATGCTGAAAGAGCGAGAGAGAGGAAGAAAAGAGGGGGGGAGGTGCAGGAAGGCTGTTCTCAGAGCGTGTGGACAAAGTCTCTCCTGTCGATTGATGTTGACCATTCTAGCAACATGCCAATAAAATTTCAAATTGAAATTTTTTTTTTAATTTTTATTTCATGGCTTTAACCCATGATAAGTTTTAAACATCTGGGGCCATGGATGTGGATCTGGCTAAATGAGTTTCTAGCTCATATTTGCCTTGCAGCCAACCAAAAGTGTCAGTCGTACTTTGCTACCCAAAGGGGAGGGGGTTGGGGGGGATATAAATGCCTGTTTGTTTTGTTTCTCAACATGGTTGCTTCAGCGTGTAGCTGCAACCCGAATTTTGTACCAGCCAACTCTGGCAAGATATTAATAGGGAAAAAGATTTTCGTGTTTCTGGTTCAAATCTATCACATTTCAAATATTGGTCATCTTTGCTTACTGTTTGCAGCTCTCTGCTAAAAGTCATCATAATGCATAATCTCTTCCTTCTCTCACCCTCCCTGCCTTTCTTTCTTTTGGAAAAAAGTTGGTGAGCAGCAGTTTTGCTGAAACTGAATTCCTTGGTTAAAGGAAGTGTATTTTGGAGAACAGCATATTTAGTGTTACTCCTCAGAGATCCAGCCTCTAGGATCTCATGCTTGAGCGGTGGATTTGTATTGCTATAGTGATTCTCACTGCACCACTGCTTCAATACCTCTGTGCACAGGTCAACAGAATCTTGCAAGAAGGAAATAGGTTTGAATTCTGCATGTTGCCTCTTTGAATCGGCAATTTATTGCATATTTACAATGCCACTTAAAGAAAATAGATGTGGCCAAGTTCATCTTGCATTTCAAATTTCAAGCAACTAAAAATTGTGTTCAGTCTAAGTTTAGAAATCCACAGCTGCATTCAAAAGATGCCTTTTATTGTGATGTGAGCAATGCCTTGTCTGTATTGAAGATCCTGTTCACTCATTGCTTAATTCTAAGTTTTGAAGTGAAAGATTAGAGTATTAAATATATATTTTAAAAAAACTAAACAAATTAAGTATACTGGGGAATTTTTAGATCTGTCTAATTTTTTTTATTACTATCTGAGCTGCATACAACTTGTAATAAGCATTTTTTCTTTGCATGTTTCAGTACTGGAAAGAAAATGCGTATGTTTTTGTCCCATTTTCCCACATTAACATCTGATGACAGAACAGAACTAATACCCATTTTCTGTATATACAATACACTCCACCCCCTATCAATGTACTGTGTCCTGGCTCCTTTTTGTATTAAACAATGTCATAAGCAACCTTGTTGCAACAGTAATTTCATTTCTACAAAGTGTTTGTCTCCCATAGCTGAAGCTGTGAGGGTGGAGTGTACTTCACTACAATAGAAGTGTCGGCATAAATATCTTAAAAAAAAAAAAAAAAAAAAAAAAAACACAAACAAAAAAACCAACCAAAATCAAAAAATAAAACAAAAAACCCCAAAATTGCGCCCCTCCAGTGAAGGTCATCTAACTGGATTTGTGTTTGCTGATACACTTGGCCAAGTTATGTGGTAATAGGCAGTGATACTTTTTATCTACTTCCCTAAAGTACCTTAGTTAGTACAATATAGGGTAAAGATGTGAAAAATGTGAATTTTCATTACTGTCAAATTACTACTGAAATAGCCTCAAATCACAACATATCTTTTAATAAATGTGTGTAGTATTTTAGCTTTATATTGACAATAATTGCTATCTGGTAATGACAGGTTTTTCCATAACATGAACACAGTCCTCTACATAGTATTTCTGTATCTTAATTATTATACTGCATTAGATCTCCCAAATGGTCTGTTAGGACTGATTTCCCTGTATCACTTGGTGAGAGCACTGTGGGATTGCAGAAAGGCACTGTCTTTACACCCAAGGCTCTTACAAGAGATTAAAACTTAAGTAGTAGGAGAAGGAAGGGTGGGAAAAAGTAATTTATGTTAGTTTTCCCCTTGTAAAAATATGCATTAGAGAACTGAGGTCGGAAGAGGCAGGGAGAATTATGTAAAGAGGGAATAAATAAGAGAATGTTTATGAAGATAGGAGGAATGAAGTCACATTGTTATTTTTGATTTCTGGAATGCTTTTCTTCAGATTGCTCTTAGATGAATAATATAGGATTAGAGAAAGGATCCTTGCAAGAATAGTATTGCACATCCTCACTAATGAGAATTTAAAACATATTTGCTTTAAACTTTCCACTGTGCTTTCTAAATACTCCACCACTCTATCTAAACAGCCAGTTTAACTCCGGGGTTTTTTGTGATGATTTACTAACCCAGTTCACAAGCTCAACAATTTTCGGTGGCTTACCTAGCTAGTAGCATGGTATTTTGTAGTATATAAAGGAAGTGATAGGAACTAGTCTATGCTTATTTATTCAAGCTCTGTCAGAAGTCTTTGGCATCACTCCAAACGTGTACAGGTAGAGGTAACAACAAAATTAAGGCCTTAGTCCTTTGCATAAGGTCTGGAGAAAATGAATTGGAAATATTCACAAATGGTATTAACGTAGGATATAGTATTGCTATGACTGTGTTCAAGTAGCTGTCTGTTATTAAGAACAAAGATACTCATACAGGTCCTTTTGATTTCAGTCCCAAGTTACTGACAGCAATCTAGTCCTGATTCATAGCCCACTGAAGTTAATGGAAAGGCTTCCACTGACTTCAGTAAGCTTTGGATCAGATTTTATTGTTTAGGAGGTGGTTAAAATTTGTGGACCTTGAGAAGAAGTGAGATTTAAGACCGTGCTTCAGAGAGCAGAAGGGCCACCTTTCTGAGATGGGAGAGAGTGAAAACAGGCAATACCATGAAAATAAGAAAACAGACTAGTTCTGAAACAAGCGGTGTTAATCTGAGAATGCAGTAAGGAAACAGTGAAAAAGAGCAAGTGAAAAGTGGATATAAAAAGTTGTTCACTGCCTTGAAACAAGAAATGGAAGGCAGGGGAGCAGACAGCTGCGAGAAAGCCAATGATGTGAATGAATGATAGGTAAAAAATGTAATTTGTTATACTCATGTTTCAGGATCAGTGACCTGCCTGAGTTAACATTTCTATTTCCATCAGTAAAGATATTGACAAATTATATCTGTGGAATCTGTTTACATTCTTCAGTCTAGCTACCTAGGGTAAATATTTATATCTCATTCATTGCTCTTGAAGTACTGACTTGTGATATGACTGCAGTGTTAGGATACTTTGCACATCTTTCTTTTGTGTCAGGTTTCAAGCTTTCTGTTAGCTCTTTGGGTAGCAGTTTTAAAGCATCTGGTTTGCTTGGATACAATTTTCTTTGTCTTTTCAAAATTTGATCTTTTGAATTGCTTTGAGGCTAACATTTTATTAAAAATCCAGTTCGTGTCCTCTTGAAACACAGAGAGCCGTTGTAAAATGTTTTACTGTCATGACCAAAATGTTTGCTGGTTATTGGCTCTGCATACAGGTAGAGCACTGTAAGGATAGGTAGCAAAAGAGATTTTCTCACTGTCAAATTTTGCCTTGTTCTCCATCTTACATTTCCAGGTGACTTTGTTTTCATTTGTTAGGATTTTTTTTCCCTCTCAAGTCATTGCAATCGTGTAGAATGAAAAAACCCCTAAAACCTTCACAGAGTATTTTTAAGGGCACTATGCTATTGATCCATATGTGGATTTCAGATTAAAAGCAGCATGTAACAAGATACAGCCTTCAGGGTGTGACAAGAAATGGCCTTCGGTCTGTGCTAGAGTGTGCACAGTCTTAATTATCCTGCCCCGCTTCATTTTAGTGTCTTTCACATTCAGGTAAGTGATGTGCAAAAATCTGTCAGAGTTTATAGACCTGTTTATGTGGCGTGTTGAACATCTGTAATTCCAACTAACAATGGCTGGAGTTGAGAGAACGCCGGATCTCACTCAAGACATGCAGCATCTTGCATGATCAGGTACCTCAGCCCACCCGCTTGGCAACCCTCTCTCTGCAGCTACAGAGGAGGTAGTGGGCTGAGATAGCTACTGCTAGTTATTTTCTATGAAAGATTTCTGCTAGAGTAGCTAACAGTGTTCTGTCCATAATTATACTTGCCTGTGATAAAGAAGTTGGATGTATTGCTGCTTATGCTGTGCAAACAGTGTGTTTTCTGCTTTATAATCCAGGAGAAAGATGAAAGTCCCAGTCCCAAAGAATTAATCCAGAAATACGTAAAGAGATATGATTGGGCTACCATGCTGGGGGCATTTTCACTGCAGAATTAGGGTCTGAAGAGAACAGTATATGACTAGAGTGTGATTAAGTGCTGCTATTAGTTGATGAGTGTCATGGCAAGTCTGAAGTTTATTTGCTTACTTTATTATGAACTATTTAACTTCTCTGTACTTTGAGTTCAAATTTGACATGTAAAATTGCCCTATGCTCATGGATCCTCTGAAACAATGTTATTTTAATCTGTCAGAATTTTTTATAGTTTTAGTGTAAAGAAAATTAGTGAATACTGGGATCAGATACTTTACTGAAGTGCTTATAAATCATAAAGAGGGTAGGGTAGATGTTAGGTTGGAAAAAGGCAATGAATTAAGAATCTTCCGTTACTTGACATATCAGTGGGTTTACTCCAGATAATATAGATATAAATTACCAGTGATGTATTTTTTTTTAAGTAGTTTTGGCAATCTGCATTATCTCTTTTGCAAAATAGTATGATCTGTCTAAATAATACAAATCTGCTGTGAAGTTCTAATTTTTGGTATCTTGAAATGCCACCACGCCACTGAAATTGAGTTACTTTAACAATATTTTCCTTTGAGAAATAAACTAGAATTTGTCTTATCAGATTTATAATCGAGCAGCTAGTAATATGCACTTTCATGTCTTAATTTTAAATACGTCAAGCACAAAAGTATTCAGGTGAATATGTCTAGCGGAACTTCCATTAGCAGCGGCCGTTCAGATTGAAAGTATGCTTTTGTATGGTGACGCTTTTTGGTTTTGGTCATATTTTTATTTTGGGGTTTTGGGGCATTTCTGATTCTGCAGTTGACCCATGTATGTAAAACTGCTTGCCTCTTTAAGTGTTTGCAGGATCAGGACCTTTAAAATAGAAGATCTATCCCCTT